TAGTTGGAAATTCGTTGCATCATCTAAAGCTGATTGATATTTGATAGCTTCTTCCTTTAAGATAACATTAGATCTTATCAAATCATCAATGATTTTATTTTTTGAATTCAATTCTGTTTGAAGATTTTTGCAGTTGATTTCAAGCATTTTATTTTGTGAATGAAGGTTTTGAAGCTTGTTATCATATAAAATATTTCTCAACTCCCCAAATCCAATATTATCCATTGAGCTTGACATAAATTTATTTTGGCTTGCTTCCAACTCATTTTTTTCATTTTCCAACTCAATGTTTTTACTTTCCAACTCAATATTTTTACTTTCCAACTCGATGATTTTACTTTCCAACTCACCATTCTTGAATTTGCCTTCCAATTCATTGTTTTTATGTTTCAATTCAATTTTTTTATTTTTCAGTTCCTTGTTTTTATTTTCCAATTCTTTGATTTTACTTTTCAATTCTTTGATTTTACTTTTCAATTCATTGTTTTTATTTTCTGATTCATTGTTTTTACTTTCCAATTCTGTGATTTTGCTTTTCAATTCCTCCATGTTATTATTTGTGCCATGAGGATAATTGAGATCTTGATTTCTTAAAATATTATTATCATAAGCTTCTTTACTAATTATATAATGTTCTCCAATGTTAAGACAAATTATTGGTTCTTGCACTAATGGTTGTTGTTGCCGACTACATAGGAGTTGCCATTGTTGTTGAGTTAAATGTTGCTGCTGTTCTATGAGTTGTTGACGTTGTTCAAAGTGTTGTAAAAGTTCTTGCTGTTGTTGTGTAGATTCATGATGACAATTTAATTGATCTCGTTGATTTTGTGTTAAAAGTTGCAGCACTTCCAAGAGATTTTTCTGTTGTTCCAAGAGTTCTTTCTGAGAATTCAAGATATCTTGAAGTTGTTGTTGTAAATTTTGTTCTTGTATAGGCTGTTGCAGTTGTTGTAAAGGTGATTGCAGTTGTTGTAAATGTGATTGCAGTTGTTGCTCTAAAACTTGTTGCAGTTGTTGTTTTAAGAGTTGCCGCTGTTGTTGCCTCAGTTGTGAGGATTTTTGATGTTGACGTTGTAAAAGTTGTTGTTGTCGCTCAAAGAGTTGTTGCAATTTTTCTTTGCATTGGTCCGAGAATAAAATTAGTTGTTGTAGTTCTTGCTGGTGCAGTGGTTCAAAAAATTGTTCTTGTTGTTGTTGTTGTTCTTTTAAAAGTTGTTGCTGTTGTTCTAAAAGCTGTTGCTGTTGCTGTGTGAATTCATCGTCTACATTGATATTTATATTAATATGGTCTCTAGGGTTTTTTGGTGTGTCAATTTGATCAGACATTGTCTTTTTAAATACAAATGAACTGGTTTCAAGAATACAAGAAAATAAATTGTTGAGATACATTAATTATTATATATATTAATATATATAATGCACGCATAAATTTGTGATCAAACAAATATTTCCACAAAATGTCTTTTTTTTAATTTTTTTAGTTTGAATATTTCGAGAAACTATTTTCGAAAATTTTATCATGAAAAATTTGCTTGTAAAAATGATATGAGTTTTGCGAATCGAAAGAAATCAAAACGTTTGGTTATTGAACGGTGTGCACTATAGAATTTTAAAGCAAGGTGCCTATAATAATTTTGATAACACGGTCGTTTGTGTAGTCATGTGATATCAATTGATGACTATTTATTTATAAACTGAATATAAAACAAATAAAAATAAAATGTAATATTTCGAAAAACTCCTTCCTACACAACATTAATAACATTTATAAAGAGTATTTAGTATATATCCTAATTAGATACAGGAGAATCTTAATTTACTGACTTTACTAACGAACGAAACATTCAATAATGCACTTGTTGAACGCACACTACCATTATCACTATCACTATCACTATCATTATCACTATCATTATTATTTTTCTTTTCAATCTTTTTTATTTTAAGCGATTTAATTGGGTTCAAAAAAAGTCTATCTAGAAGCTTTTTTTCAAAATATCGCAAAAAAATCCTTAAAAACATGTTTTATTATAAAT